GTTCTGGTCCTATACTGCCTGTTGCAGTTCCATTTCAGTAATATTTTGATTTATTGTCATTTACCATGAAGTCAGACTCTGACCTCTGTGGAAAGATAGTGGCAGTGATGACAGGAGGCCTATGCAGACTCCAAGGCCACAATAGTTGGAATTACGTGCCTTTATTTGCCCCAAGTGTTTGCATTTCTCTTGCCCTCCACAATTCACATATCAACTCTGGACTGAAAATACTTACGAAAGCCATGAGTGGGGAATACAGACTGTTAGAAGGAGCAGCAGAAATAAGAGCTAGGAGAAAGGTAAATTTATGGCCTCACAGTGGGACTGCTCAGGAGCTCCAGGAAAGCAGAGAAGACGCTTATGAAGAAGCGTTAGAAGTTAGCATATGAAGTAGAAGAAATTATATTCATTAAGGCAATGAGGATAAAGGGGGTTGTTCTGCTGGATAGAAAAAAAAAAAAGCTCTGAAATAAAGCATGTGGAAAGTGTCATTAGTTTCTCAGCAATTAGAAAAAGAAGGTAGAAGAAATTAGGAAAGGGAGGGGACTAAAGTCTCAAGATAAAGGAAAAAAGCTTATGCCACCAGAAAGAAACACAGTTAATATATTGAACATATTGTTCCAAACATTTTTCAGCCTCTCTTCTCCCTGTGCAATAATTTTATATAAAAATAGAATGCATCATCCTCTTACAAGTGAGAAGATATTTCCATGTTTGAGAAAAGCAAATAATCCACCTACCATCAGAAGAAAAAAAAACTCACATTACCTAATGGTGAGGTGGCTGGACTGTAGCAGGGTTGCTCAGCTTGAGTTTATTTAGTCTTTGTCAAAGCAAATATCAAAACCACATTTTTGTTTAAAATTTCACTTGTGACACCTGCTTACCTATTTATAGCTGGTGAAGTTCTCACAGAAAGCCACAGTCAGTGCTATCTTATCTTTTAGTAGGCAAAGTGCTGTTTACCTTGCATGGGCTCAGCATTCCTTGTTGTTTCCACAGGCAGTTTAATTAGGATGCATGTTCACCCAACAGAAGCAATGAATGGAGTGGTAAATAATAGTTGGTAGAGCAGTCTGAAGCATTTCATTATCAGTGACTTATTGTAGTCACTGTAATTAAAAAAGATAAAAGGTCAAACAGGACAGTAACATACAACAGGGGTTTGCTGCTCACCAGGTAATTTGCTTTGAGATTGATGTTGCGACACCATTCACAGTCGCATCAATTCAATCCTCTTAGAAAAATCTCCTTGCCTTAAAATGATCCAATTATCATTACGTTAACTCAGGTCATTTGAGATGCTTTAAATGGAATTATCGATGTGCACAATTTCAGTACTTGCATTTAACTGGCCAGTGGTTTAACCTGCTCTGGTGAATTCTGGCAGCATAAAGCTGTACCAGCCATCTATTTCTGCAACGTTTTTAAACAATCTGCAGTACTTCCCATGTAGAAGTATCTTCTTTGCATAAAATGTGTATAACCATGATCCTGGGACAAGCAGGTGAACTATGGCAGATGAGAATAACAGCAAAAATGACAGTGGTACAGAACAGAAGTCATTGCCTGTAAGGAGCTCACACCACCAGGGCTGCCCTGTGTCACCACTCAGCACTGCTATGGGCTCATGCCTTCCAAAACAAATGGCTTGCTTCTGTGTTGAAGCTTTTCCTAATGCTCTAACGTTACAGATGTCCTCAAGGCAGCAGATCTAGCTGAGGCTAGCTCTGAAACCTTAAAAATTTCCAGGAAATTTAAAAATTCAGCTTCAGATTGGCAGTGCCTTCCTCACTGTGTTTCAACCGTAAGGCTCTTAAGAGGTTCATTCTCACAGCAACATTCAAACTGTTTTCAGATATACATATGGCAATCCACATCTATTTACCCAAAAGCAACCACATTCTGTATTTCTGCTTCCTTTTCATTTACTGAGAATAGTGAAGGATTTCTTTCTTTATTAATCGTAATTCCTTAGCATAATTTAAAACTGATAACATACCAAACATCCTTTGCACAATTCCACCGACTTCAGTGTTAGACCAAAACCTTTAATGCCAGAAAGGTTACAGTCTTACAGAGGTAAACTGAAGTGTCGTACTGTTTCTTGATCAAATTCCTGATTCTTTATGGGAGTTGTTCTGCCTTTTTTACTTCCCAAACACTCCAAAACAAGCTCAGGGAATTCAATACCTTAGACAGCCAGACACAAATTTCCCAACTCAATTATTTTTTGTTTATTTTAACGCATTTCTGAAAACGTAATATAATCATTATTACACTTTCTTGAAAGTACATATGCTATTAATTACATCAACTAAAGCTACTACTGGCATGAAAAAGTACAGGCCACCCTGTGGGTAGAAAGGGGAAATTGGAAGTTAAACAACGAAACACACTACACCGAAGGGGTGGATGAAGTGACCGTGAGAAAGGTGCCTTAGCATCTACCGCTGCACAGAAACAATCCCATTGAGGGGGGAATATTCACCATCAGCTACATTTGTCTTAGACACTGAATCCGCCAGTTAGTACACACAGAGCAGGATGCACTTGCCAAATAGTACCACCGATGGGTTAATCTAGTCATGGAGAAAGGTCTTGCTCAGCCTTAACTGGGCCCTGATCTACCTTACTGCAAGTCTAGCTTGCAGTGGTGATTTTCTTAGTAGAGACTTCGCTACAGTTTCTTACTGCTAAGTTCTGGGCTGTGGTCTCAGTAGACATATAAGTGAGCAAAAGCTACGATAATGAATAGACCATGCAGCACTAGCATGTATCTGGGACAGGGCAAATACTGCCAGACCTTGATGTTGCAGAACCTGTCAGTTATTGTCAAATCTCCTTGGGCACTTTCACAACCAAGGGATGAGATAAGAGGATTTATCTTGAAATCTTTTTATTGTGGTTCTCCCTGTCCTATGGACAGCATGACCTTCCACAGAGCCGAACACCATGTATTCTAGATTTGGCACCGTTTGAAAGCCAGGAAGTTTTGCTCAGGATGCATTACAGTGCCACGTGTGATCAGAATGGCATATATTTGGTTGTGTCAGCTGTATTTGCTTGACTTTTTAACTTCTTAACCATGGCAAAAATAGCTGATGTCATTTTGAGGCATCTGTACCAACCGAGGTAGCAAGAATAATTCACAGAATGAATTGGAGAGGCTGCGAGGTGTCACACCGCACATCTTGACGAAGGGTTTATTAGTCACATTTAACTAGATATTCCGAACTTGATAGAATTGTCAAGAACCTAAATCTTGAAATTACCCTGCTAGCTTTATGCAAGTGAATCAGCTTATTAATGCAAACACGTAAGAGTACATGAGCTAAGATAGAGAAATATCGAGTCTTTTAGAAGCTAATAAGTTGAGAGCCAAAGGGTGACCTTGCTCACAAGATGCTGACTGCAACCCGTATTCTGGGTTCAGTTCCTGGCTCCGCTTCAGACTTCCTGTGTGGGCTTTGCTGAGACATATCTATGCCTCATTTCCCTATTAAAAAGGCAATCCATTTGGAATAAGGTTTGTCTCCCAACAAGAGCATGTCAAACACTTAACAGAGTAGCATTCTGCCCTTAAACAGGAACATCAGTGCTGAACAACGCAAATAATGAGCAACCACCTCCGTAACAACATAGCCCATATTTCTATAATGACAAGCATCTTTTCTTTCTGAATGCATCCATTCTGCCCAGGGTCCTAAGGTGTGTATATTTATCTATATAAAAGTGACTTCCATTTATAAGGGTTTTGTTTGTTTGTTTTAAAGTCAATATATTTTACTTAATCTGTGTTTGAGGCAGCACAAGTTGGGTTTGGCTGACAGCTTTCAGGATCTTGCAAACAGCAATAAACACTACTCTGCAATAATAACTATTGTTGTTTTTTTTTTTAAAATCTCCACTATTTTTGAGGGAAGACTGTATTTGTAGACTCTGGAAAAGATTTAGTATCAGATTCGCTTACAACATATTACCCGCTTCCTAAAGCCGTAAGTCATTAATGAAGAAATCATTCTTGCAGAACACACAAGCCCTGGCAAAGCAAACAGGTGCCCTGTAAAGATTTCATACCATTTCCATACACTTAATATGGTCCAGAAATACTTTTTGTACACTAAAACTACAACTTCAACTCTTGGATACATAAATTTTGTCAGTAACTGAAAAGATAATGTGAATTGTGGTTCCCCCTTGCACCCTTCTTAAACTCTTTCTACAGTTATTAACGTGCAACAACTCAGCACGTCTGGATTTTCACATTTTTTTTTTCCCCTCATTCATAGTTAAATACCATAGTTCCAAGCCAGATGGGGAGCTAGGTAGCTTCTGAATATTTAAGGTATTTATGGTGCAACAGAACACTAGATTGTGTAAGTATCTTCATCTTTCTCTGTGATGTAAAAATTGTCTCAAAGAATTAAGCTTAATGAATAGAAAAAAAAATGCAGTGATTCGCATCAGAGATCAACATGAGTACCTAATCTGAATTCAGTTATTTTCTTAATGCATTACACTTTGTATTTACAGAATGAACTGGTATTGAGTGCTTAAGTGTAGTTTCTGAGATATCTGAGTAACTTTGCTCATTAGGTGTATTACCTATTTATGGAAAAAAAAAAAACCTAAAGGCTCTCTTGAATTTATAGTTAGCTGCTATTTTGAGTGTCTGTTATTTTTTATGACATATGTTCACTAACCAGTCTTATTCTAAATTGGAACCTTGTTAATTGAAAGAAGTTAGTTAGATTTCATTTATGTTAAAAAGAATGTAACAATGTTCAGCCAATTCCTAACATTCTTACCTCTGATTTATTCTGCCAAGTCTATATTAGAATAGAGATTAGTTGAGAAGACACTTGAAGTTGGCTTATTTTTAAATTCAAAGACATTGACACATTGTGTTAGACACAAACACTTGACATTTAATTGAAACTTTTAAAAAATTAAATCCCTGTCATGAATAATATTTTCTTCCTCTTTTCCCCTCCTAGGTGTGAACTTCATATTTTCTCCCTGGAACTAGGTTACTGCTGAAGAGATCAAGATGGTCCCAAATTACTCTACTGAAGAAACTGTTAAAAGAATCCATGTCGACTGTCCCGTTTCAGGAAGGCACAGTTACATCTACATTATGGTTCCAACTGTTTACAGCATCATCTTTATCATAGGCATATTCGGGAACAGCCTGGTCGTTATTGTCATTTACTGCTACATGAAATTAAAAACAGTAGCCAGCATCTTTCTTCTAAACCTGGCGCTGGCTGACTTGTGTTTTTTAATAACTCTGCCACTCTGGGCAGCCTACACGGCCATGGAGTACCAGTGGCCTTTCGGCAACTGTTTATGTAAGTTAGCATCAGCGGGGATAAGTTTCAACCTGTACGCCAGTGTGTTCCTCCTCACGTGCCTCAGTATTGACCGGTACCTGGCCATAGTACATCCAGTGAAGTCCCGAATTCGACGTACCATGTTTGTTGCCAGAATAACTTGCATTGCTATCTGGCTTCTCGCCGGTGTGGCCAGTTTGCCTGTCATAGTTCACCGTAACATATTCTTTGCTGAGAACTTGAACATGACAGTCTGTGGTTTTCGGTACGACAACAATAACACAACGCTCCGGGTTGGGTTGGGTTTATCCAAAAATTTGCTGGGCTTTTTAATTCCTTTTCTGATCATATTAACAAGCTACACCTTAATTTGGAAGACCCTGAAGAAAGCATATCAAATTCAAAAAAATAAGACTAGAAATGATGATATTTTTAAGATGATTGTAGCAATAGTATTTTTCTTCTTCTTTTCCTGGATTCCTCATCAAGTGTTCACTTTTCTGGATGTATTAATTCAATTACATGTAATAACAGACTGCAAAATCACTGATATTGTGGATACGGCTATGCCCTTCACCATTTGCATCGCTTACTTTAACAACTGTTTGAATCCTTTTTTTTATGTTTTTTTTGGAAAAAACTTTAAAAAATACTTCCTTCAGCTAATAAAATACATTCCACCAAATGTCAGCACACATCCAAGCCTAACAACAAAAATGAGCTCCCTCTCGTATCGGCCACCAGAAAATATACGCTTGTCCACTAAAAAGACTGCTGGGTCTTTCGATGCAGAGTGATGTGTTTTGCAATATACTTTTTTTGAACAACCTTGTGAACGAAGCAGCAAGAATGAAAATTCATCTGCAGTGCTGAACATCACAGCTTACTGCTCGTTACAGAACCATCAGATCACCTCAGAGAAATCATACTGTAAAGATTTAGCAGTGGCCTTTTATTTTACATTGTGAAGAGGACTGCTCGGTTTTCATTTTGTTTTTCTTTACCAAAAGCAACATAAATGGTGGACAGGCATGTCAGAGGTTCTGTCAGCATCCTGCCACTTACTCAGAACTACAAAAGAAGGGTAGAGAAAAGTCCTAACTTAAGTTCGGAGATCTTTTGAAAGGAAAAGCTTGTATAAATTACATGAATTATGAAGGACCTGTTTTGCACATACGTGAGCTATTCGAAGTTTCGTGCAGGGAGCTGATGGAGCTACACTGCTTATTCCGTTGGGTTTTTTTAAAATGACATAAATGTCATGTCATCATATTTATAATATATTTTCAAATATATGCTATATATAGAGGCCCAATTTTAAACTCGAATGGAAATTTAAGGTCCTTGAAATTGGTCTCATTCTGATTTATGCTACTATTTTTCATTTTTTAAAATGGCAAATTTTTCATAATATATGCAATGAAATGCAGGTTTATTTATTAAATATAGAAGAAATATTTTTAGATTTATATTCCTACTCATAGATTTCAAACATTGCTTCATAAATGTACATTTATATCCCAGTGGATATTTTTATAGTAGTTTAAAAAAAAAGTATTATATACACACACACACACACACAAAAATGAGGTTCACTTAACCTTTCCTCATGATCTGCCACACTGACTTTGAAGAACATTACTTACAGAGTGGGTTGACTCCATATTCTACGTAACTAAAAGTAAAATTCTGTATTTGAAAACGAGTTCTGGGACAGAGGCAATCAGAAAACTTCAAATTATTTTTCTATAATAACCAGTGCACTCAATGAGAGAAATTACCAACTAATGAAATCCACTCAATTTCTCAAATTCCTGGACATTTAATAAACTCACATTCTGATAAGCAAAAATGCGACAATGCTTGTAGTACAGTTTAACTAATAATGCTTTTAGTCACATCACAAAACATCTGAGGCCAAGCTTTACTCTTGACTTTTACAGAATTACTCTCTATTTATACAAAACTAAGCCTAGAGTATTTGCTTCCTGTAGAACCATTTTTATGTGTTTGGAACAAATTCAAATTTATACTAGCATAAATCAGAACAAAAGTCTGGCTTAAACTCTCTATACAAATGACGGGGGAAGGGTGATAAACACTGTAGGAAGTTTCAACTAATGATATCCTTGTATGTCCTTTTTACCTCAAATGATGTACTCCAGAAAATATTTTTTTCTTGAGTCACACTCATTTATTGTCTTCAAAGATAAATGAATTCATAAATACTTTGACATAGTAAAACTTAAGAAAAATTCCAAAACTGTACTCATATCATGTAAACAATTACATGACCCTTGAGAATTTGCAGCATTTATAATCTTCAAAATTATACATCTAATGTGGCTTTGCCTCAGGTAGCAAGTGTTTGGATTATCCATGTTTTCTGATTATCAGTCCCTTGCATATACACAAATACTATTTTAAATTATTTTTTGCTTTAGGAAATTAAATCACAATAAAAAAGTTATTTCTGAAATACTTTTTAAGAAAAAACGGGACCACAACCAGGTGTGGGAATCTTGTGCCTCTTCCTGCTCTTTCATTCACTTATTTTAAGGCAAGTTTCTTCAGTTTTGCCTTTGTTCTTCCAGCTGCAAAATGGGAACAATCTCTACTTACGTATGTCACAAGGCACTGTGAAGATTCATTAAAACTTCTAAAGCTGCATGTTAAAAAAAATGCTTTTTCACTGAAGTTTTAAGTTAATTTAATTGCAAGCTAGTATCTCAAAATTTGAAACCTGAATGTGTCATCTGAAGGCACAGTTAAATTATTCCTGTTATATATAATGCTTTATATTTATCTTCTGTCTGTTCTTACATGTGAGACAGCCATTTGTTAAAAATGAATATGGCAATAGTCCCATGCATTGTAAATAGCATCCAGAACAGTACCACTGCCTCAGTAGTCAGTAAGCTGACGAAGGACAGACAGAGCCTGCCGTTTATGATATTTTGTTCATGTACGCATGTGCACATGCTGAACAGCATGGGGAGCTTCCCCTGGCAGAAGCATATCTGTCTCAGACATAATTCAGTGTGCTGTGCTTGCCACCTGCTGGATGCAGCCACAAATTTGTTTTTCATCTCAAAAGTTGTTACAGGAAGAGACAGCAATATTTCCCGGCTTCCTGATGGATCTGGAGATCCTTACCTGTGGCAAAACTCCTGTAGAAATGAAAGACAAACTTGTCCATCTGGGAGGCAGTTAACTTCCTTGACAGTAGCTAAGCAAGCATTTCCTCATCACCAGTTGATCCCTTTGGTCACTGAAATCCAGTGTCCCCAGTGACCACAATAGATAGCTTATTTTCAAAACATTGATTGCATTACTACAAGAGCCATCCGAAAGAGAAGAAATATATATATGTGTATAAAAATAAAAAACAAAGCATATTTGCCCATGTGATAATGAAGTATTTAGCTGAAAGGACTCGTTTATCACCAAGAAGAAAAAGAAGCAGAATCAGTAGTGACTATGAGCGATAAAAATGACTGTATTACAGCAGAAAACAGAAAAGAAGCCATTGGTTAGTGATTTTGATCATTTCATGCCAGATCCTGTCTTTTTAAGAGACTGCGTAACCTAGGCTGCTGGTACCACCTCTGCCTACCTGCATCGTGGGAAAAAGCACGAGCATGCACATTCATTCGGCTGGGCTGCTGCAGGAAAGGCAGGAAGGGATTGCAGCTGGTGTGCTTTGAAGGCAAGACTGACCTTGAATTGATAGGCAAAGAAAGTGGAGGGCAAAGCTGCCGTGAAAAAATGCTGGGAAATTTTTGTTCTCCTAAGGGGTAGGAATATGGTCATCAGCTACCAAATATAGTGGATCCTAGTTTAGTATTTCCTTAAAAAAAAAAAAAAAAAAAGGCAGATCAATAGATACTGAAAAGCATCCAGAGATAAAACTCTCCAGCACCTCTAACTGGGCAGCAGCAGAGAGCAAACTCTTTCAGAGCACAGAGTTACTGCGTACAGCCACAGCTTCGGGCATCCCCCCAAAGCCCCTAACTGACGGCTAACTGAAGAGTCCCCATTTCCTTCAGCACACCCACACCACTTCCATTGTGCCATCTAGCTGCAACCTATGCAGGTGCTGAGAAACGCGTTGTTGCTGAGCCTTAGGCTCCCCAGCCCACCTACTTGCTGAAAATACTATGCTGGAGCCCTGTCCGTGGGGCAGACAGAGCAGCAGCGTGAGAGACTGCAGGATCTGGCTGCTGTTGTGGACCCTTGGTTGTATGGTCCCTGCTGAGGGGCCCGTGGGAGATGGCCAGAGTGTCCTTTGGTGCAAGAACCTCCTCCTTGCAAACAGAGGAGGAGGGAGGAAGATTTGGCTCTATATGACTTCACCATCTTTGGGGAACTTTGGGTTGAACCATCTTAATTTAATATGAAAATAAGAACTAGCTGTGTATGTTTAAGAACAAATTCCCACTATCTTAAAGAACGCATTAAAAAGAAGTATCCAAAGTGCTTTTCATTCTCAGGATGACCAAAGTAAAATACTTGACAAACTCTTAGTCTGTCCCTGTACTCTGCTGGTGTGAGGAACTCGAGCCAGTATTAATGGGGACAGCATACAGCCGGCCCTAAATACAGGGATAACTACTCCAAATGTATCACAATTATATTCTGTTGGCTTGTTTGAATGAATACTTTCTCTCTGCTGGCAGAATAATTACTAAATCACATTATGTTTGCCATGCACATGCAGAATATTTATTTCTATTTATTCTGTGATATTACTTTATATGACTTATGTTTCATGCTCTGCTCTCTACTTGCTTGCCCATTATATGGCTATCCTAAATCATACTATATAGTCTGCACTGGTTAGCCTAAATTCCAACGAAAGAAATACAGATACAGTAGGGATTAATTTGGCTTCTCAGCTTAACAATTTCCTCATGTTTACATTGTTAATCAAGATGTTGCAGAATAAGTACGAAGCCAAAAGTCCTTTCCTTTACCAGAACTACTATTTAGGTGATAGTTTTCATCATCTACTTGAAACTGTGACAGCAGCAGAGAATATAGTAGGATTCCCAGGCTTGTTTTAGTTTTGCTTGCATAGCTTCAGCAATGATTTATCTTGCTGACTTCCTTTTTAAGTATACTGAAGTGCAGGTATTCCCAGGGAGAAGTTTGCAATGGAAAGGAGAAACAAATACTTGGGAGGCGGCGGAAAAAGGCTTAAAGCAGGGACTTGCTGATTTTGGAAATATTTAGTGTTAAATATCAATACTTAATTTTATTTTTGCAATAGATAGGGAAAAAAAAACAAACCAAACCAAACAAAAAACAGCCTGAGAATAGGTCTTTCAGCTAAGTAGTAAAAACTTCCAGAAAGTTTTGAGAGGCTCTTTTAAGTTTCTTAATAACATCCTGCTCAGTTTGCAACGTATCAAACCATTCCTGCCCCACTCACAAGGTCAGGGTCTCCAGCTCTGCTCTTCCACATCACATTACAGGCTTGGGCAGACCATCATCCCACCAGCTTGTGCAAAGTGATGAGGTTGTTCATCGAGTCCATTTCAACAGCGACCTCACAACCAAGGCTGAACTAACAAATCCTCACTGTTAACGGCAGAGCTGTCAAGCTCATTGTCACTGGTGAGTTCTGCAGATGTGGCTAGACACTCAAGAAATAGGTACAGGTCACGTTTGAGCACAGCGTTGTGTGATCTTTTTAGTGGACTACTGCCATGGCCTGCAGCTTGTAAAGTACTTGGTAAATTCAGTAACAAGATCTAGATATTATTTTCTTTTAAATATTTTTGTGCAGTCGTAAGTTGAAGTGGTGGATGTTAATGTTTTCTATTTCAATAGAAATAGTTTTA